CTGTGGGTACGATTGCACCCGTACCAGATTGACGAAAGAGGTGAGACGGAGCGAGTATGCGCGAATTAACCATTTTTCGCAGAGTGTAGTGATGACAGAGGTGGGATGATGGTGGTGGGCGATGATGGCAATCAATTATAGCAGAAGTGCTAGAATTTACTATGTAGACTCAGCGCTGTTACCAGCTTAAGGCAGACGGGGCACTGCTCCGCGCAGTTCAGCCTGCCATTGTGTACGAGTTGACCATCTCCTCGCCTGGAGCGTTATGTTTCAATGGTACACTTGCTTCTGAACACAGAAGTGGGCGTGGAGGCGTGCGCGGGTGAGAGACGCTGTAGGCCAAACGCTGCATCGGTGAGTGTCTTGTACGAACTACCTGGCAACAGAGGGCTTGCTGTGTCGCGGACGACGGGGAAAGATCCACTCTGCAACTCTGGTGTGAAGAGAACGAAGCTCGCATCGGGCGACGCTTCGGAGTCAGGGGGAGCCCTCTATCACGTAGAGTTAATCGCCTAATCGTACACAACGATCTCGGGAAACTCCCCTCTCGTTTTCCGAGAGAGACCGATCTGCTCACATCCCGTGAGCTCGGCAAAACTCCAGACTGACTGATCAGCTCGATCAGAAGACGGATCGACAGTAGATGGGGGCGTGGCTTAGGTTTACGACCATAAGAGAGAATCTCAAGTACCTAAGGTTACACCTAGGGATACTAGTCTGCACCTGCATGCACTTTTACAACCTGCACGCGGCCCCATCTCAATCCGAGATGTTACTCACAAGTTATCTAAACTTGGATGATACAGTAAAACTGACTAAGGTTACCCTGTGAAGAGAACGAAGCTCGCATCGGGCGACGCTTCGGAGTCAGGGGGAGCCCTCTATCACGTAGAGTTAATCGCCTAATCGTACACAACGATCTCGGGAAACTCCCCTCTCGTTTTCCGAGAGAGACCGATCTGCTCACATCCCGTGAGCTCGGCAAAACTCCAGACTGACTGATCAGCTCGATCAGAAGACGGATCGACAGTAGATGGGGGCGTGGCTTAGGTTTACGACCATAAGAGAGAATCTCAAGTACCTAAGGTTACACCTAGGGATACAAGTCTGCACCTGCATGCACTTTTACAACCTGCACGCGGCCCCATCTCCTCAATCGAGATGTTACTCACAAGTTATCTAAACTTGGATGACGACAGTAAAACTCCACGATTACATATACTAATGTTGGAACCGCGAGAGCTCCAAAGTTTCGTGACAGTAGTGGGTGTTATGTAACAGCTGTGACGATTGACCGTACCCAATTACAAAACACAACACACTATTCGTAATTAACCATTTATTTGCAAGTTATATACAAAATGATGATTGGCAATGAGCCAATCAATATACATACAAAAGGTGCTAGAATCTACTACGGTAGATTCTAGGCTTCAACCAAGCTAGGGAACGGGGACTGTCCGCAATTCACCTGCCATCTTGCACTATTGAACCATCTTCTCGCTGAGGATGTTCAATCGTACACTTCCTTCTGAACACAGAAGGGCGACCATCGCGTGAGCCACGCTTAGGCCAACGTGCATCTGTAGTCGTCTTGTACGAACTACTGCACAACTGCTTTCCACACGGGGAAAGATCCACTCTTCAACTGGTGTGAAGAGAACGAAGCTCGCATCGGGCGACGCTTCGGAGTCAGGGGGAGCCCTCTAGCACGTAGAGTTAATCACCTAGTCGTCCGCAACGACCTCGGGAAACTCCCCTCTCGTATTCCGAGAGAGACCGATCTGCTCACATCCCGTGAGCTCGGCAAAACTCCAGACTGACTGATCAGCTCGATCAGAAGACGGATCGACAGTAGATGGGGGCGTGGCTTAGGTTTACGACCATAAGAGAGAATCTCAAGTACCTAAGGTTACACCTAGGGATACAAGTCTGCACCTGCATGCACTTTTACAACCTGCACGCGGCCCCATCTCAATCCGAGATATTACTCACAAGTTATCTAAACTTGGATGATACAGTAAAACTGACTTAAGGTTACCCATATACTACATGGGGGTCCTCAAAGAATAAGCGTTTCCACTACGCTTTCATAAAAATCTGGCAGATCTTCCACGCATGTCGTACCGACCATGCAAATTGCTCACTACACGTAGTAGCACGTAGTAAAGTTCAAAGGTGACATAAAAAATACAAGAGGAAGAACTGGAAAGGAAAAATTACCATTCCAAAAATGAATGCAAAATCTACTAGAGAAACAAGGATTGTTACGAATGTTACTACTAGAAGGTACATTAGAAAGATAGCAAATAGGAACTCATGAAGTCATCGGGAAAACTGCTCGTTGTTGTTGAGTCCTCGTCGACACGATCCACGTTATTTCTTCTGAGTCCGTCTTGGAATCCATAAGAATCCATTGCTAGTTTTGACCGTATTTATAGTCTCGTCAGACTCCAACACATACCGCGAAAAATGTGCTCTTTGCCTGGATAGGCATCCTTACATAGGAAATCTCGAAACCCACTGAACTAATTCTCCACAAGTGATAACTTAGGACCGAATTAATCAACTTGAAGCCGTGTGCCAGTTATTACCCAAACTGCAGCATTCAAGTGTGGTTCGCTTCAACTATGTTCTCAATCTATGTCTACAGACGGTCGTGGTTTTTGTTCATTACCCAGAACACACCAAATGCAATTCGTTCATTGACCAGAACTACTTGCATTATTCTCACCGTATATTGATTTCGTCTGTCTAATCCGACTGACCTACGATTATCCCTCCTCAATTCGGAAGCGGGAGCACAGAACAAAAGTTCTGCTATTGTCTCAACCTACTGCACACTACAGCTCCGATAAACAGAGGATCGCCCCTCCTTCTTTGGTGGATTCCGTCCAAAAGAATCAATGTAGACCATAGAAAAGCACACTCTTTTTCGAGTTCTTTCTCAACGTCCGTGAGATGCGACCACTCGCTCATTTGCCAGTGGCGAATCCGCACTCTTGGCGACATTTCGCCATCGATCTTGGCAATCAGCAGATAAAAGGTCAATTACTTAGCTGTCACCGGCTTGGCCCCCATGTTGGAACCGGCAAGAGCTCCAAAGTTTCGTGACAGTAGTGGGTGTTATGTAACAGCTGTGACGATTGACCGTACCCAATTACAAAACACAACACACTATTCGTAATTAACCATTTATTGCAAGTTATATACAAAATGATGATTGGCAATGAGCCAATCAATATACAAAAGGTGCTAGAATCTACTACTGTAGATTCTAGGCTTCAACCAAGCTAGGGAACGGGGACTGTCCGCAATTCACCTGCCATCTTGTACTATTGAAACATCTTCTCGCCGAGGATGTTCAAACGTACACTTCCTTTGTACACTTCCTTCTGAACACAGAAGGGCGACCATCGCGTGAGCCACGCTTAGGCCAACGTGCATCTGTAGTCGTCTTGTACGAACTACTGCACAACTACTTTCCACACGGGGAAAGATCCACTCTTCAACTCTGGTGTGAAGAGAACGAAGCTCGCATCGGGCGACGCTTCGGAGTCAGGGGGAGCCCTCTAGCACGTAGAGTTAATCACCTAGTCGTCCGCAACGACCTCGGGAAACTCCCCTCTCGTATTCCGAGAGAGACCGATCTGCTCACATCCCGTGAGCTCGGCAAAACTCCAGACTGACTGATCAGCTCGATCAGAAGACGGATCGACAGTAGATGGGGGCGTGGCTTAGGTTTACGACCATAAGAGAGAATCTCAAGTACCTAAGGTTACACCTAGGGATACAAGTCTGCACCTGCATGCACTTTTACAACCTGCACGCGGCCCCATCTCAATCCGAGATATTACTCACAAGTTATCTAAACTTGGATGATACAGTAAAACTGACTAAGGTTACCCATATACTACAGGTGATATGGTAGCTCCTTGAAGTGTTGATTATTTATCACTGTTCTTGTCCTCTTGAAAGATTTGCTAGCGATGTGCAAACACGAGATTTCTTAGAAGATTTTTGATGCATGAAAATTTTTACTAAAATTAGCTTTGCTATTGCTCTTGCTCTATCGTCAGATCAGCTTTACTTCATCTTCGACAAGTTGAAATGGCAAATATTTCTTCTTTTCATTTTTGGTGAGTTTGCGACATTCATCAAACCAATGTGGTTTTATTGGCGTGCATCAATCGTTATGTTCTTGAAAACTCTCCATTCATTCATTAATTAGATGTTCTAAACGTTGAGCATGCCGTCGAGCCTAGTTTTTCAGGGTATGGGCATTAGCAGGTGATGGGGGTGGCGGTGAATAGGTGTCAAGCTTGTGTCTCTATAGCTGTGGAAGTTCTTTATCATGCAGCTGATCACTCGGAATTTTCTGTGGTGTCCTAAGGTTCGAAAACAGCTGAACAATCAGAGGGTTTTTAGTTGGTAGACAGTGCTGTCTATTTGCTGCGTTGTTTCCCAGCATACTTTCTCACCAGTAGCTGTTGAAAAACCTGGAATCTACTTGCAATAATGGCCGCTCATCAATTGCTTTTGCAAAACTGATGTTCTTCCATCTTGACAAAGCTCCTGTTGAGTCACTGCGTTTGTTCTTTCAACACTGAGAAATAATTGAAGCGTAAATGTCAGTAATTGCAGCCATGCGTGATTATTTGCGCTCTATCAACATTTTTGTGAATTCCACGAGTTGACTTGTTCAGAAGTGGTTTTGGTTACCACTTTGTTGTGTGATTTCTGATTTCAACTGAACATTCGATAGCGCATGTTCTTCGCATCCCGGCTTCGCATTGTTTCTCTTAGGAGTGATATTCCATCATTTTGTCGTCTTATTTGCAACGTTACTCTACTTTTATAGAGTTCCTTAAACAATTTTTTATCATGCGATTCACTCCCTGTTTGTCAAAGCGTTCGCAGTTACATTCGTTTATGATTTCTTTGAAATAACATTAATGGAAGGATTTTCAGAACAAACTCGACATGAATTTGCATGACAAATGAGTTACGAAGCCGTACCATGTATGTTTCGAAGCTCAGCGCAAAATGGGAACGGCGAAACACAATATCTTGGCCTACTCATTCGTCCCTCTGCCAACCAACAAAATCCACCAAATGTGAGTTGTTTTGCCTAATCCACGTTCGTTTTATTATTTGTTTAATGTGACATATTAAACGGCAATCGGGAGCCATAAACAAGGGAAAATGGCGGTGAAATGGTATGCCTGTCTTCTGCAGAGAATATTTCATGGGGTTGCACAAGAGACGGGGTTGCTGTTGAAATTTCGCATAAAGCACTGCTATTTTAGCAAAGTTTTGTAGTTCTTCGGCTATCATTCTGCTATTATGGGATAGCTCATATTGCCGCCTAACCCTTACTTCAAGCTTATGGCTTGAAGAAGGCTCACATATTTTTAGCTGTAGTATTTGCAGCATAAGCTGATACTGCAATTGAGACTGTGAGTTATTTCTTAAACTGTGTTTTGGTACTGATTTGGTATGATGACAGATCGGTATGTAGCTGGAATTAAGCCATTCACATGTTGGTAAATGGGAATGAAAACGGGAAATATGAAGTGACAGCGTAATGTTTGCGGGGCTAACCCTCGTGTTCAACGGTTAATTCATCTTTCGAAGCTTACTATAAATTAGATGTCGAGATTTAGCGAGTTTTGGCAAATGATAGCCGATTTTTAGATGGTAAATTCAGGCATAGAGATATATACTTTTTGTGAGTGACTTCTGCGCATCAATCATGGAAGGGAAGATTTGACGGTGCCATATTTTTTTGGCACCGTCAAATCTTCCGGTACTACTAAGAAACAGAGTTTGTTTCATTCTACAGCTTCATTTCATAAATTGCACGGCGAGAAGGAGAGGTCACTTGAGAAATAGCTGTTTTAGGATTACAAGAGTTTGCTCATACTAGGTTAGAAGTGAAGAATAATAATAGGAGCGTGATGGCATGAGAATGTGGTGAGAACCTCTTGTAAAAATGGGAGCATGAAGGACCTAATAAATCTAATAGATCTTTTGAAATCATTGATCAATATCTTTTGATATAATCAACAGAAAGAGATTATTCCATTTCCATGTACCGCATTACCAAGTAGAAAGCTGATACCACTCTCAAATCATGCGGTGCAGCATGTGCAACTTTCACAGCTTTATTATCTGTTTTGGTTTGTTTTTGATCTACTTGAGTGGCATTCTTGTTATGAGAGATATCCACAATAGTGATCGGGTTGTTAGGCGGGGTTCCGCTTCCTTCAGGAGCCTATCAAATGCTCTTGACGATGACTGTGCGGTGTTTTCTGTTGACAATTTTCTTGGCTCACTTTCGTAAATTTGGAACGAACGTTACCTGGATCACTTTCCCTAGTCGCTTCTTCTCCTTATCAACTTTGTATCTTCAGGGTACACCATCTGGATCGATTGTCGGTCGAACTAACAATGGTCAACCGGTATCAACGCTAACACCTACAAGCAACTCTGTTAAAGGACCTCAACCGTTACTCGTTCAAGGAGTTTATCCTCAAGGGGGTCCTATTGTAGTGCAAGGTGAAACGCCGAAGGTGCGTTTTGTTCACTGTCTTATTCTCAATGAGCACAAAACAGCTACTCCTTGCAAAAGAAATCGGTTACTTAGCAACAATCCTTTTTGTGCCAATCTTTTTATGCGTTCTGTTCATATTTTCAAGAAGCGTCGCCCTTTGCGGCTTTGTTGTTTTCGTTTATATTAGCGAAGTTGAATAGTTGGGGTTGGCATTAAACCTTCATTCATTTGATTTTACCACGGGACAATGCAACTTCATTGCAAGCCGCATTAAATCGTTCAAACAGAACTCAAAACGCAACGCCATTTCGCTGCAGAAATATTTCTGTAAATTGTTGTTTCTTGACCCGTGAAATAATTCGGAAACTTTTGTAATACCAGCACCGTGAACCCTTTTTCTCGTGACTTGACTTTTATTACCACAGGCATATGACATATCTCACGTCTTCGAAAAAAAGTTTGGACTGTCATGTTGTTCTTAATGGTTTTCATGCCCTCTGATGCCATTTGCTTCTGAAATCTCAATTACGACATTATTGTTGCAAGAAATTGGCAATCCCTCATCTAACCTCGACGTTGGCTCTTTCAGGTCCTCGTCCCAGCAAAAGTCCAAGTTCGATTACAACAAAGCGGAGATGCTTCAGTTGCGATCTCACCTACAGCTATACCGTCTTCGACCTTACCGATGGCCACGTCAACGATGGGATGGTCACAGGCAGCTCCTATGAAAGCAGCATTTGCTTCATCTGGCCATAATATAATGTCCAGTCCATGCAATACACAGGTAACTTATGTCCATTTTCTTTTTTGGCCATGGTAAGGTTTGTTCACTTGGGCTCCCCCCTAACTGATGGTAGCTTTATATAATCGTGGTTTATTCCATTTCGACTAATTATACACAGGATATGTACACTGGTGTGCAAAACTTAGGGACGAACGTAGCTTTTCCAACGACGTGTTACTGGCGCGTAACATGACTCTATGGAACCTAACCACACATACAAAGAGCTGCACAGGGCACTAAAGAAAGCAGTTAACAGGAACCGTTAAACGGTCCACAAAGCTATCAAAAGGTTATGATACTTCATCTCGTCCTTGAGTTTTGCTCACCAGTGTAGCTCTAGCTATGTGTGTGTGATCATAGTACGTCTGTTCAATGGAAGTGAACTTTAGTGGATCAGAAAGACTAATGGAAATGAACTTTCTGATTATCTGCGGAACTATTGTAAAATGTCAAAGTTATGAAAATAATTGTTAAATGTTAACGAGGAAAGTTTCCAGCATCGCAGTCTGTCGGTGTGCTCTGCGTCGCCGCAGCTGGATTCGTCACCGATGTCGCCATTACCAAACATAATCCAGTATCACAATCATACCACCCCATCTTCGACGAGAGTTGGAATGCAGGTACTGCTAATTCTGATATTTTTGGAGCCCTCCGTTTTCGAACTTTACTTGATCTATGCTTACCATCGTGAACCTAGGCCGATCCTCGATCTACTCGTGTAACGGGGACTGGTCAATGGGCTGCACCAGTGAGTGATTCGTCAACGACGCCGGATTCTGGTATTCAATCCGTGCCGGGTTCCCCACCAAGCAGCCATCCACTCACGCCACCGACGGTAATCCTTCATTGCTTATACGTTGTTTTCCTTCCATTTTTCCCCATGTGTTAAGGGTTTCGCTATTTTGTTCCAAAGTTTTTGGTCTTCGTTGGATAACACTCCACATTTGTGTTGCTCAATTCTTTTTTTAAAGGCGTCTGCTTTGGAAGGGGCCGCTTTCGCTATTACGCAAGTAGGGTAAAGGGCAGGTGGCAAGAGTGAACTTCTAGAAGTAAATGTCATGTCTGCGCCATCTGCAAGATTATCCCTTTGCACTCTTTCATACTTAAATGTGGATTTTTGGCTCACGCGCTCTATAGGAAATCTAAATTTGTTCCAGTCGTCTTAAAATTTCTGCCATATCCTATTTGCCTACATTTCATTGGCAACAGTCGGACTGAGCTTTTGCGTCACTTTCCACCTCCAAGGCTTTTACACATTCCTGATGAATTACAATGAAGTTATCGTTTGAATTTTTGATATAGAATGCGCTTCTTACGACGCTCATCTGTCAACAATTGAGTACCTTCTCGGCATACAGGTACTATTGGCGGTGCGCTGAAAGCTCTCTTATCCTGAAGCTTTCAAAGATGTTAGAGAAGGAACGGAGATCTTACGCTGTAGAGCGAAAATGAGCTGCTACTTCTTTAGGGAAGCAAGAGAAGGTTCAAGAAATAGCGAACTAAACATATTTACCGAGGAATAATACGCCTCTGACGTAATAGATACTTAAGCGCATGAGAGATATTGGCCTGCTAGGTGTGGAAGAGGTTTATACCTTTTCTTCAGTGGCCGTTGTCTTCCTACCAATTTCTTGTTTTTTTTTATTTGAGCTGGAACAGTGCAAGTGCTTTTCTTTTTGAAATTTACTTCTCTGTTATTGCCGTTTTGCTTTCCAGATGCAGTTGGAAGGTTGCGATTCAGTCTGTGAGGAGCGGTGCGACAACGATGAAGATTTCGCAGATATGCCACGTCTTCTTCCGGTCGATCAAGAGGACGCTCAATGTAGTAATAGGTAATAATACGTTTCAGTTTATATTCACCTCTTTCTACGCTTGATTAGTTTATTTATCTTTCGGTTTTACTTTTATTTCGTATTCAAATAATATGTCCCATTTTCCTTTGGTGTGTTACGTAAAGATTAACGTTTTGGGTTAGTTCATTGATGTTTTCTTTCATTTGGAAAGCGCATTTGTGTGTGAATCTTTTGCATGAGCGTCCTTTCACTGTAATGGTAATAGCTTCGGGAAACTCATTTGAAGATATTTTTCTGGAAATGTGTTGCACAGTTAAAAGCATTTTTGAATGTTTTGGCATTTCCTGTTCATTTTCCTTTCATCTCCTCTTATTGAGGCGTAACATTTTCTTAATCCTATACTGTACAGTGCTCATTCCATAATTATTTTAGCTGCTTGTCTGTTCGCGAAGACGTTGCATCGTCGCACGGTTCTGAATGTGAGACTGCACCAACACCATCGATTTCGATCACACCCACTATGGACTCGAAGGATATCGTTGAGCAGCTCCTTATGCTTGATCCTGAAAAGGCTAATGCAATTGCAAACCTCATTAAAAGACGCCAGAATAGCAAACGAAGGAGCAGCAGCAAGCAGGTAAGGGATTTTGACTTCACTGCTTTTGTTCAACATTATTTTTTTACCTCTTTCTGACTTTGAGTTGGTGTGACTCACAGTTGAGGACTCCTCGATAGAGGTCCGTATTTGTACGGTGGGATGAGGGGGGTCTATGTAGAATTTTTTGGGTACAGGTCGAGTAGTCCAATGTATCCTCCCCCCGCCCCCCATAGTTAATGTTTCCCACTCGATGTCATTATCGGAAAAATTTCGTGGCAGAACTGGAGTGTGTCTGGGCTCAACCACACCATTGACACTAGCAATCGTATCGGTCCTGGTGATCATGTAAGGTGGGAAGAAAGGGTTGCGGTCATTTCCTCGACGCGATGTTCATTTTGCTCAAGCTATGTATGACCCGACGACTCCAGAAGAAGGGGATTTTTGTCAAGTTTTGGAACCGAGAGTTGTTGATACAGAATTATCGAAATCGCGTAGGAGGCATAGATTAGGTGAGTACCATCATGCTCGCGCTCTTCATAACCCTTACCGCGTGACTGACTCATGCGCTAATCAGAGGTTGATAGAGCTTCGTGTTTTAAGAACATGGTAGAAAGTAATTCGTGACAGTGGGACTTTTTATCACCCTCCATATTTAGATCTAGTTGTGGAGCCCTATCTCTTGTTTCAAGATGACGAATACTCACTGACTCATTTTTTCTCAGGAGATGGCACAGAAGCGCGGTCGACCTGCGAGCTCAGCAAGTGAAGATCAGAAGAAAAGTGAGGAAGAGCCGACGCCGACAACAACGCGAGTGGCAACGCGCAGCACGTCTCGAGCATCACAGAAGGACAACAGCCGGGCACCTGGCGCACTTACGACCAAGGTGGACGTGTCGCCGTCTTGCGTGGACGATTCCAAAGAGATAGGATCCCAAGAAATTTCTCCCGTTCCCAGCGAGCAGATCTGCTCCGAGTCGCCATCGTCTGAAGAACGCAAAAGCACTTCGGGATCTCAATCGTATGATTTGGAAATGCGAAAGTTGTACCGCGAGGCAATAAAGAGAATGATGAAGGAAAAGGTGAGCTCTGAATTCGACTCTGAAGTTTGTATCGAGAAATAAAAGTTGTTCCTTATTTCAGCTGGCCTCTCTTCTCGAGGCCACGGTTGTGGATATGCAAGGCCTGCATATTGGACTCAGAGAAAGGCACGATCGGCGGCACAGCAAAGAGCGAAAGAACTTATTCACAGTAAATTGGGAGCAAGTACGCAAAAGAAGAAGAAAAGAAGATGATCGAAAGCGAGTTGCTGAGCGAAGCGAACGAAAGAAAGAGGTTGTTTCAAAGAGTAAAGATAGAGATCATCCGAAACGGGAACCCCGCGAGAAGTCCAACGATGCCAATGTATCCCGAGTTGAAACTAACGTTGAACGACGGTCACGTAAGAGGCGCAACGAGAGCATGGAGAAGGAGAAGGAAAAGGATGAGCCTAGGACGTGAGTAGTGTTCTTATTTGTTGTTTTCAAATGATAATAGGGATATAGGCGGATCACGCTGGGGCAATTGTACAAATTGGGCGACCACCTCACAGTACTATGCGTCCCTTTCAAAAACGATCCCCTTGCTGAATTTGACACAGTGGGCAGTTTGCTTCGGTTTTTAGGAGACTTTTAGGTTTCTAGCGGTTATTTCCTCAAAAAAAAAAGAGGAATCATTAATGGTTGTCGCTCGCTTGACCGCGTAGGTCCGAATCATGAGGGGCGCTCCCACCCAAGGCTGCAGGGTTGTTTGACACAGGACTCCAAGCGCTGTGATGTTTTTTTCCCAATTGTTCCCCGGTGTTTCGTTTTGTTGTGCGTGTATCCATCAAGGAGGGCAGATATTGTTTTGTATCTGAAAAAAATGTCAAAACGTATGGGATGTTGAAATGCCAGGGGGGATGGGAATCGGAAACGATTGGTTTTATCTGTATGGGCAATATTCATGGAAACCGTAAATCATTGGCTTCAAGGCATTCTCATTGTTACAGACGATCCGCTCATTCATCTATAGCTAAAAGGCTTGGATGTTGTGAGGCGCCATGTCCAAGCAAGCGAGAAAAGGAGTACGAAGAGATTCCTCGAAGTAAGTCACCAATGAATCGTAATGCTTAGTATTTTGTTGTCGCAACATTTCTTTCCGTTTCCACCATGATAATCTAATATTCTCTTCAGGTATGGGCGTTGGAAATCTTCCCGAATGGGATTCGCCAGTGCTGTCATGCGGCTGTACCAGAGGAGCATGTACATCAGATTCGGAATGTGTGAATCGTGCCCTCTGTGTTCAGTGCCCGTTAGCATGTGCCGCTCCGCTATGCGCAAACAAGGTGCGTACCTCATGGCATTAATGTCCTTTATCTTGTATAGGCCTTTGTGACGTTGTCATTTTTGCATTTTTGATAAGGTCGGTTACTTTTATAGAAGTTCTGGAAAGATGACGCTATGAAATCGCTGGTCGTTAGTGGTGCGAAGACTCGTAAGATTCTACGTACGAAACAGGCGAGACGAGCAGGCGACTTTTTGGTTAGTCTTGGACTTTTTCTAATGTTCTCCATGATCAACTGGGAATAAATTTGCGAGGTTTCGTTTTTGGGAGAAATTGCGGAAAACCCCGCCCTGGTTTTGTACTTGGGTTACGCTAGCTTTTAGTACACCATCAAAATTAGTTGTGAAGCGTCTGCCTCACTTACTATCACCCTAATTAGTAAAATGTTCTCTTCATTTCGTCACGAAAGTTGGGCAAACGCGATTGTTTTGGAATTCTACCTTGTGCCCTTGAGGCATTTTACCTTTCAGGTATTCGTGTACCGTTCGATACTTTTATGTTGCAGTGTGAGTTCGCCGGTGAAGTAATTCGCTACGAAGATGCGAAACAACGTTGGGAAACATACTCGAAGACAGAAGCAACGCCTGTAATTTTGTGTCTGACATCACGTCTCTTCGTCGATGCCACCATTCGTGGGAATGTCTCCCGCTATGTGCGGCAATCGTGCCGACCCAATGCTAGGCTGGAAGTCTGGTAAGTTCTGAAGAGGGAATGCTCTATGTTTGAGATCAATGCTTTCCAATTCCTGCACTTAATCGTCTTTATCTGACTTAATCTATTGAATTTGTTAATCGAAAGCCCATATTCAGGTCAGTGAACGGTAAGTACCGTGCTGGATTGTTTTCACTTGGTGAGATCGCGTCTGGAGCTGAAATCACTATCGACATGAATGGCCTGTTACCGGTGAGCCGAAATTGCAGCTGTGGTTTGAGCGACTGTCACAGACGGCTTGTTATGGCACGCAACCCGGTGCGGTTTGTTCTTCTCTTTCATTTTTAACCTGTTGTTATATTCTTCTGTTGCTAAGTATTTACTAAGGTTCTTTGCAAAAAGTCCTATGCTTCAGCCGATTGCCGCGGCAAGTGACCTGTCGATTAACGAGGAGCGCATCATTCGCAAAAATCACTTATTCTTGATGCGGAACAGGCAGAGCTCCATTACTCGGGCTGGTGCACATGGTAAGATCTTCTCATAGCTTCTGTTTCGCAGCTTCAGAAAGTTTTTTTTTCACTTGAACTTCGTGTATGAGGTTGTAGTAGAATATAGTATTATTAGAAAATATTTTGTGATGCCAATCGAATGCTTCAAGGGCTAGTGGCCGAGTTGTAAAATATGCGGGAGTTCGATTTGAAAAACATTGTAGATTATCTGAATGGTTGCTAGGCTGTCAAGAATTAGCTGATGTTTCCAGGTTTGGTCGGTTCATTCGGGCCACCAGCATCGCTAGTCGAAGGGTTGCGGACAGTTCTTAGAGGAATTGTGTACCGGTACGTGTTTCAGTTTTTTATTGTCAAATACTGATGTGTGTGGTGTCAAAGTGAATTTCTCACGTCTACACTGTCTGGAATGTTTTTTTGCAAATTTTGGTGTTATTTGGAAGTCGAATGAGTTAACCATGAAAAATTTTGCAAGAAGTAGAGGCGATTTGCGATGGGAGCAGGGTCAAACCGTCACGTTCGAACATTTTCGGGATTTTTGCGACCCCCTGTTTTTGTTAATAAGAGTGCTAGACATGAATCCGTTGCGCCAGAAAGCGTCTGTGCCGCCGCAGACAGCGTCTGCATTGCGGCGTCAGCCTTGGAGCGCGGCAGGTATCACCCGGGCGCTGGAAGAACGGGACGCGGCGAAGAAAAAATTTTAGAGGGAATAACTTTCTTGGGACGTATTTTTTTGACTTGTTGAGGTAGATTTTGATTGTGCCTGAGGTGCGCTTTCAGAAAACTACAAGGATTGCCTAACTCTCCGGAAAGTACTTCTGTTAGAAGTGGAAAACCCAAAATTCTAAGAAGGCGCACCTTCAACTTTGAAGGCCATAAAATCTTTCGTATGCGACATTTTGGAAATCTGTAAAAAGTTTCAGAAACTTCAAATATTTTTCTAACAAAACAGTATAAAAGTTTAGTGATTGTCCCCTTTTTCAAAAAATTGTCCAAAAAATTGTCCCGTTCGAACATTTTTCGTGCAAAAGCGAGTTTTTGGGCTTTCAGCGACCATAACTCACTTCATTTTCATTTCTGTGATGCACTTTTTTCATGGGGTGAAAGTACAGGATTTGCTCTTTCTAACAAGCACCAAACCGTTTTTCAAAGTTCATTTTTCGAGAAAATCACACGTTCGAACATTTTGTTCCCATAGGTTTTTGAGCAGCACATGCGAGTTTTTGAGCTTTCAGCAATAATAACTTCCTTCAAAGAACTTGTTGGGGAGGGGCGAAGACATTTTTGAAGACTACGAGATTTCTGCTTTCTTATGTGTTTTACCGTTGTCTGGAAGAATCGTCCTCAGAAAATTAGGTCCCGAAGAACTTTAATTTCAGCCCCGAGAAGTCAAACCTTTCATAGGGATGCATTCAACTGTTCTTTATTCCTCAAGGAAAACACCGTAATTTGCCTAAAACTGTCTCTCTGTGCATAATAATCGAATCTAATGCGGTCTGCACAAACAATTCTTGCCCTCGGATACGCCACGCACGCGCCTGTGGCTGGCAGTCCTCGAAATTGCGACCCCCTTCCGACCAAAATGCGACCCCTTCGTTCGAACAGTTCGAACGGACGGTTGACCCTGGATGGGAGGACCATGTTCATTATGAAAGAGATGGGAAAGAGGTTCCATCTGGCTTATAAGGTTCTCATGAATTGAACCTATTTGGGCATTTAGTTTAACTTGTTCTTACTATAGTAAGTTGTCCCAAAAGTTCGTGCGTTTTCTAGGATCTCCCGCTCTCTCGAACCTCCTTTCGAATTCTGAATCTGTTTTCGTAGGCTGTGGGGAGGACTATATGTAGTAATTTATAATCTGCTCGCGCCCACTCTAGTCGTTTTCTTCAACTTCGAAATTGGAATATAAGAGAGCCATGTTTGTCTGGCATTTCTTGATTTCCATTGAACGGCAATGGGCTCGAAGTCAGACGCAACATTTGCGCTGTAATCGTCTTTCTGTCGTCGCCCATCCATGGTATCACAATGGTTGGATCTTCTTCACTGAGTTGCTACCGCCTTAGTTTAGGAAGGCCTTCGGTGTCTGAATAGACTAGCTGGGCTTTCCCATCGAAGCCAATTCGCGCGAGATACCTGCATATGGCTCTTGTGAGGCACAGTTCATAAATAGGAGTTTCCGCTCCCATTTAAAAGGGTTCAAGCTCAGCCTATCATTTCTCATGAATTGACCACTGATGGCAGGAGTGCGACAGGAGTTCCTTGCGTAACTTGTATTCCATTCCACTCGTACACGCAGGTTGAACAAAACAGCTACTGCAGATGGCTAGCGACGATTTCGTACAATTGTAAGAAGGTCGAGTGACTGCATCGAGTGGAAGCGGCTGAAAAATTTGCAAATTAACCACAAGGTCGTCCTCAGACTCAGCTCGAGATTTTTCGACTTGAAACTGAAAACCTCACCCTTGCTGCGCTATGAAGTCGATCAGGTCTGTTGTGGTAAGGCTATGGTGGCGCTCCAGTAACTATCCTTAGATAGCAAGAAAGGTCTGGTTCGCAATAGCCCACACACATTTTTAAGATGACGGAACTCAAAATCTTTCGAGCTTCCTTGAGAAATCCTGTTACATTAACGGTACAGCACTGATAGCCTTCTTTGAAGTGTGGTCTTTCTCCTTGTCAGCAGTCGCTTTGAGTGCAAAAACACGATTTCCTGGACACATCGAATCGACCTCACCACCTTTTTCCGTTCAAAACGGCCAACTTGCTGGGAGCAAGATAGCCACTGACTACTCGTTGGCAACAAGGAATGATACTGACATTGCATATACTGATCCTAGATAGTACTTGTGGTTGAAATAAAGTAGCTTGAGAAAAAGTTCAAAATGCGCACGAACTTCAGGAGCAACCTTTCTATGGCTTCAGAGCATTATTATATCGTTGCTCATCAAAATCCTTCTTTGTTTCTAGTACTATGGAACTCACTTGCATGGGAAACAGCTTGACCCTTCCTCATGTATCTGTATTGCGTGCAAATAATAAAATAAAACGGATGCGCTTTAAGCCTTGTTAAAGCCATGTAGACTATAGAACTGTGAAAAAGAAGGCTCGTTTTAATAACATCAAAAAAATGTCGCGATAGTAATAAAGGCTCCGGGTCTGAAGCTGATTTTTTTCTTTTTGAAAATACGTTCCGCTTTCCCCCAAGGCTCCCTTGCAGAGTCAACCCTGCGTTGCGCAGTTCGCAACGGCACGTTGAGAGATCCTCAACGCACGCTGTATGGGCGGAGACGCAGACGGCTCGAGCATGCGAGTGTGAATGTTCGCGCGAGAGAACGTGTCTAATCGGGCGAAACTGCGCAACGTGGCCGTTGAGAACTGCGCAACGCAGGGTTGACTCTGCTCCCTTGGCCCTTGCTAATATTTGCCTATACTTCTGTGGGAAGTTCTTCTTTGCCCTTGGTCCCTCAGCTCGTAATTTTTCTCCTGTGAAATATTATATTTCCCAATTTTCAAAACTCACAGCACTCAGAATGGTCATCGATCAAATATTTTGGTTTCCTTTCAACCTACGGCAACCCCAGATGAGGTCGTGTGGAACAATCCATCTTGTAGGTGGGATAGTGTAGCCTGGGAATATCACAGATGTGCCGTCACCGCGGCCCGAAAATTTGCGGCAATTGCGCTGGGGCCTTGCAAAGTGAGCCAGCCGGCTAATGTGAGCGAATAGACGAGATATTTCACGTACATCCCATGTACCAACGTTGATTACGATGTGGCGGCTTCAAATGCGCGCGGGTTAGTGGAGCTGTAGAGCGAGCAAGTACAAAGAACCCTTTCGGACTAGGTCATTTCTAATTTTGAGGGAAGGGAGTTTCCTGTTGAAGGCTCAGTCTGCGATTCGCTTTGCTTCTTTTTTCATTTTCAGTCAGCTCGACTTCTATTATCGGCTGCTGTGACCAGAGCAAATTGTCTGGGGTTGTTGTTTTGAGAGCGTATCCTATTGTACATTTGGACCGATGGATCATTTGTCTGCATTCACTTTGTATTGTTTATAGAGTGCGCCGTGTCGATGGTCGTCTACCACTGAAAGCGTTGCCAGGCTATCACCGAGTCAGTCGGCTACTCCACAGTGTCGAAAGACAGCGTGCTCACTTGAGCAAATCTGAACTTTCGGCGGCTTTTGACATGGAAATGGGACGGTGGCTAGATCAACTGGCTGATGAAGACTTTGAGCGTGCTTACGCGTTAGTTCCATTTATTTTTTTGGGATTCTAACGTCGTCCTAAATATCGTCATTCAAGGGCATTGCGTGGTCGATACCTCTGTGATGCTGGAAAGTCCGAGAAAGATGAGAAACCAAAGAGAGATCGCAGAAGAGAGGCTAGATTCGTGAATCGGGACACCAACCTCGAATACATCGACTCCATTTTCCGAGTAAATATTATTTTCATCTTTTCGAGTATCTCGCGGACTTTGTGTCGAATTCTACGATTTCTGGCATTCTCATGCAACTTGCGATTGATTTCCTCCATATTTCAGGTTGGTAGCTATGATCCTGATGAAGTATGGCCTCTGGGCAAAGCAAATGAGAAGGATGATGCGGTTAGTTGCAGGGCTGACTAGCTTTATCCTATGGTTGAACATACAGACTTCTACAACCCGTATTGTTCTACTTGCAAGATTTACGATCCCTTCTTATCATCTCCTTCAAGAGCATTTCTCCTTTATTCTCATTCTCAAAACCAACTGCTGTAGGTGCGATGTGTCTGTGGATCTTTGGAAGAAGATGGCGAGATGACTCAGTGCGATACTTGCAATTTTTGGTTACACAGCGAGTGTCTGGACACTCGAGATGTCGACCAGGAGACTGTAAGTCAAATCACGTTGTGTTTTTTTTTTCGTTGATTCATGGTGTTGTGAGACAAATCAGAATTTACTGGATCTGTTTACCTTTGTTTCCACATGTACTAGTCCACAACTAGGGCTAGTATTTTTCTATCTTGGAATTACGTAAATAGAATTGTTATTCATATACAACATTACGTTCAAAAAACGAGAAGAGCGTCGGTTGCAGACCATACACCACAAGTGACGACGGCCTCCACAAAATGTAAATGTTTTCTGCCAATGAAATGATTAGCCTGTTGCAGTTGTATTCTATCAGTTGTCACTAATTACAACTATCATTTACCAAAATCAGCTATCACTATGAACCACTACTAACCAGATTTACTTGGAGGCCGTCGTCACTTGTGGTGTATGGTCTGCACCCGACGCTTTCTCGTTTTTTGAAAGGGAGGGTGCGCTTTTTGCACAGAGGCGCAAGCTGTGTAGCAGTAATTGGGTCCACTTGCCACGGTCCAAGTATCAAACTCAATATTGAAGTATGCCCCAGCCAACTGAGGGTTTCATCCATCCCTGATCGGTGAACTGGTACGGGACTTTTTTTTAGGAATAAGGCTTGAACATCAGCGATCCTCTCAATGTGAAGATCAGCTCATTTGAATCATTGTGTATATGTATAGATATTCCTATCTTCTATTTCTGCCCATTTACTTTTTGGGTATTCCAAGCTCGCGTAAGGCGTGACGATCCGGAACATACGAGAAATCATAACGAAAGAACGCAAAACTCGATTTTTCTTTACTAATCAGTCACATCTAGCAGTCATCCGCTTAAAAGTCAGGCACGATACAGCGGTTGGGCCTAGGCCCTCACACGTGATGGCGACAGCGCCACTTGCCCCTACATCGCTTCTGCCTTGTAATATTAGTACTCAGTGAAACAGACACTCGATTATATTTATATCTGATGTTTAAAATCTTTTGAATTTCAGCTTGCTCTATGCTGCTGTCGTGGTTGATTTCTCTATTTCTCATTTAGGAATACAAGTGTCAGTTCTGTCATGGTGCGATATCCGGTGGGCGTCCGTGCAGCGATGTAATCCTTGCAAAACAGCCTGACATACGATTATATGGTTGTTGTGCACTTTTACACAGGTACAGGTGTTGTTGTTTTATTCCTAATGGCAACTGTTATTGCGGATACAGGTGGATTCTATTTTCTGCGTTCTGGAAATGCCTTGAAAAATTAGTGTTTCAGAAAGCCCTTATGGATGTGCTTTCAGGCATAACCAACAACGCGTCAATTCAAGTCCGAACTCAATGAAGCCGTTCGACGTCTCAGGAGCGGGCATCAGAGATGATGTGAGTTGTTCTTGTACGGGTTTGATTACTATTCTTTTCTACTTATAAAATTATGGGATATATTTGCATATATTTTTTACCAGTATTTGAATCGATTGAGCTTTTTCAAACTGAGCGATCATTGATTGATGTGCTTTTTTAGCATAAGAAGATTTTGAAAAAGTTGATGGATGTTAATGAGAAGAGAAAGAAAGACGAGGTTGCTGGAGAGGAAAAGTTTGACGACATTCCATCAGCAGCTCAAGACCGTCTTCCTCCCGAAACGTTCCATCGAAAGGTACTTTTTCGCATCGCTGAATTTCGAGCTGTTTTTTATGTTCTATGGTGTATCTGTTTTATTCGTAATTCTTTTAGGATTTGCGAGTGTTCCGAGTGGAGCGACTCTTCTCTGCTCCGGGCGGTCATCGTTTTGTGTTCGGTTTCTATTATGCTCGACCCCATGAGACGTTTTGCGATTCGCAGCGGATATTCCATAGGAATGAGGTGAGGTTCAGTTTGCCGACAGTTCGAAAACAACAGCAGGAGTGAGGCCACGAAGACGGTTTCGTATTAATTTCAGTTCAAAGCTTTGTTTATAGGTATTTGCAACTCCGCTGTATGATACGCTCCCTCTTGACGCTGTTGTCGGACGATGCACTGTGTTAGATCCTTCAGTTTGGTGTCTTGGCAGACCAACAGTGCCGAAATTCAAGGTAAGATTTTGCTAGAACTAATGCGAGATTTCGCTTTGAATTTTTATTCATTCGCTGTTTAACAGCAACTATCAAGTTGTTGAGCAATCTCTGTAAAGAGAGTGTAAGAGCGCGAAGGAAGCAGGAGTTGCAGTAAACTTATAATTACGTTATATGTTCTTGACTAAATTATGGGATCTACTTGATTTTTCTTATTGGCGCTACAGTTGCAGTGGCAGTTTGCAGTGGTAGTGGACGACTCCCTTCGAGGGATGCAGGTCTGCTAAAAAGCAGACTGCTTCCCTTGAAGGGAGTGGTCCGCTCAAAGAGCTCCTCTCTCTGTCCCCCATTAATCATTAGCTTGAGAGTCACGCACCATGCACGATAAGCACGGGTTAAGCAAAAAAAAGCTTTCCTTTGGATAAGCAATTCGAAAACTAGGAGCACTGCTACGCATTCAAATTTGCGGGTACATCTGTCACAAATGTGTCACAGGAATGTTCCACTTGCTTGTTGGAGTGCCGTCACTCAAAAATCTTTTGATCTTTCTTGATCTCTAGCAAAAACACTTCCCTCTACCGTTGCATCCTATTATATTAATTGT